TTCAGTGTGTACCATGGTGCGATATTTTCTATATTTGCTATTCATGAATTTAAAAAAATATATATAATAATAATGATAATTCAGCAAAACTAGATTGGAGAGTTTTTTCTTTATTTGATGGGATAATATAAAGTAAAATTTCAGTTAAATTTCAGTATGAAATGTACAATGACAAAGACATTAAAAATTCTATATTAATAATAATACTAATTATTATTATTATTATTATTATTTACAATAAATATTGTTAGTCCAGAGGAGGAACCTACAACAAAATTGATGATGCAGAAAATGAGAAAGGAGGAGGGAAAGAGAGGGAGACTGCAAGATGAGAAAGATGACTCCTCCATACCCTACAGCGGGATGATGTTTGCAGATTGGGGTGGGTAAAGAACGGAACTGAAGAAAGCAGGAGGAACAGATGAAGCTAAAGAAGAGAAGGATAAATTGATGCAGTCTAAAAAAGCTTGTGTTGACTTATCACAGTCACACATGCTCGAGAAAGAAAATGAGACCAGTTTTGCTAGTGCCCTTTAAAAGTCTTCAGGGAGACGCTGTGACAAAACTGGTCAGATAAAAAAAATAACAGCTTTCTGAATGCCAAAGTGCATTGAGAAATAACTTTTTTTTCTTTTCACAAAATAAAATAGGAAAAACAAAATAAAGTATCAAATAAAAATGTCAAAAGACTTGAAATAAAAAAGTTTGAAAATACATCAAGTGCTGTTTGCAATCTATCATAAATTGTGATTTGTTTGTGTTGCTTAAGTTATATCTCGCAGCATCACTGGTTCAGTTAATTCTGCAGCGCTGCAGGCAGTTGCTTGCACCGTCTCCAAACTCAAAGGCACCGCTGTTTGCAAACGAAAAGATCAGAGAAGTAACTTTTTTCTCAGCATCTCTCAGAAAAATATAGACAGTACTACTGCCTTCTTCTCAGAAAATGCTAATCACTACTTGCAATGCAGACTTTTAAAAACAACTGTGTCTCCAGGTAGATGCTGCCCTTTTGCACCGATCCACCATCATGCTTTCCTCAAATTCTCCAAGCATATGGTTCTCGGAAGACCAATCACAACTGACCACATAAAAAGCTGCTCATATAATGCGTTGGTGGATACATTTATGATGCAAAGCCAAATAACTTGACTTTTTTTCCCCATTAAAAACTTCTGCAAACATCAAAAAGTGGAAATAGGATAACCGTGCACTAGAAAAATCAATACATCTAAACTAGGAATACTGATATAAAAATATTAGTGTACTGTGCTGAAAATCATTTAAAGTTGTCCTAATATGGCATTTGCAGGCAAAAATGACAGGCCTTTTAAAAAGTTCTTGTATATTTCTCATTATGCTATTATCACCAAATCTCGGATTCAATCTTTTTTATCAACTTGTTTTCTTTCAATTAGCACGTTTAGTATTTCTTTTTGAAACTAATCGCAGTTCTCATTGATCTGAGCTTTTGCAACTTTTGCATTCACTCAAAAAACTGAGGTGAATAAACTCAGGTCAATAAAGCCTACGATCAGTCATTTCCAAAAAGTGTATACGTTTACAAGTTTATACAAACATTGAGTTCAAGAGTTGCTAATAATATAACATAACAATAAATATATAAGCTTTTTTTGTCAGTCATTTTTGACTGGGTGCACTATAAGTGTAGAAAAATGTAGCCTATGTTTTTGGAAGTTGTGTGAGAGCAAAATCAGTAGGTTTCAGTCCAATGTGATAACATTAACTAGAATTTTTGTGGAAAAGTAATCTCTTGGTCAAGATGACTGGAATACAACATGAGGACGTTGAGCAAAAATGCAATGCTGGATGACAAGGCATAAAATTACTTGTTTGAAACTTTAAATCCACAAGAACAATGTTTCTGTCTGAGGCAATTTGTCATTTCTAAGCCTCAGTACTGACCTGACACCAGTTTAATGTTTCCTCTTTTATAAATGTATGAGAATATGATCTACATTCTTCTACACGAAACCTGATGGGGAACTTCCATGAACAAAAGCTACATCTGCATCCCAATAGGCATCACACAATGTATTTGGGCATATTAGCATTGATGTAAATGGGTGTTTCAAGTCTTTCCACATTAGTCACTGCTAACATTACTTCCATTACTCAGATTATAGTGCATATGCATGTGAGTTCATAATGTCAGAAAAGAATAAGTGGGAGTATTCATGAAATTTGCATATGGTCTGTGGCACATGTTCAAGATAATACATTAAAAATGTCCTCTTAATTAAATAAAGGCATAGGTAAGACAAAAACAATGCCTTAGATCTATATAGGCCATCACAAAGGGCTATTTCTGCCTAGCTCATCCTTTGAAACAAGTCTCATTTCAACATTAAACTTTATACTTCATAGTACTTGTCCTTCGATCTTTTTCTATGCGTCACTGGAAAGGCCCACCTAACATTTAACTGTGACAATAAAAGTTCAATCAAAGGCAATTTCACCTCTTTATTTAAAGGCTTTAAAACCACTTTATGGGCACATTTATAAGCAGATTCACAAACAGAAAAGCAATTAACTTAATGAATTATTCTGAAACTGCAAATAAATGCTGCTGATAAAATCTAAACAAATGTTTACCATTTCAAATCTGTTTAAAATAAACCAAAGACAGGTCAAGAAATATTTTACTTGCAAATTTGAGTAAAATATAGCCTCTGTACATTTAAAAAGTATTTGGACGTTTATACTACTGTTCAAAAGTTTGGGGTTGGTAAGATTTTGAATGTTTTTGAAAGAAGTCTATTATGCTCACCAAGACTGAATTTATATGATTAAAAATACAGTAAAACAGCAATATTGTGAAATATTTAAAAATAAATGTTTTCTATTTGAATTTATTTTAAAATTTATTTTATTTTATGAATTTTAGCAGCCATTACTCCAGTCTTCAGTGTCACATGTTTCTTCAGAAATCATTCTAATA